TTTCTACGTGTACCGCTTGCTTAGTTTTGCAGGTCTGCTGGCTTCCATGCCTACGCTGGCCTAGTTTCCCTTTTCAAGGCAGGTCCTACTTCCACGGAGCTGCATCCCCCTCTGGATCCTTCAGTGCCACCGTCAGGCTGCACCTCTGCCACACTCCTCCTTTCCTTTGCTGCGGCTGTTGCTGCCCTAGGATCATCCCTCTCGGCCAGCGGCTTCTAAGCTCTGTACCTTGTTCCTCGAGGGACATCTTCCCTTGTAGGGTCACCTCCCATGTCTGCTGTACCCTGGGACTCTGTTGTTCTCTCTTCCTTCTCCCTTTTCCTCCCAGCTGGGCCTTCTGTTGGGGTGTTTGTCCTCTGCATTCTCCCCTTTCCTTGGGCACCCTCAGAGCATCCCACTTCTGATTTTGAGCTCCTTCTCTATTCTCTTGGTCCTTTTGCCCAGACACCCTCCCCTTCTGTGGATTTGGGTCACCTCTCACTTTCTTCATTTGGGTAGCTTCCCCCTCTAAAGGCTTCGCACCCTGGTGTCAAGTCACCTCCCAGGGGTTCTGGAGCCTCCCCCTCCAGAGCCACTTGTCCCCTTAGAGACATGCTGCTTGCTGCCAGTGTCTTAGAGCTAGTGCCACTTTATGTTCCCAGGGTTTCCTCTGGTTCTGTTTGCTTCTGTATCACTCAGGTTGGTGCCACCAGGAGCAGGATTGGCACAGAACACCCTGTCCCCAGTCCTTCCTTCTGGGCTCCTGAACTGTTGAGCACCCCTCCTGGCAGCAGCTTCCTTCTCTGGGGACAGAGCCCATCTCCTCCCCTTTCCCCGCCTTTCCCCCTTGCTAAGCCCCCTGTAGTTTGGTTACTGAAGAAAGCAGAGGAGACCCTGGAAAGAAAGCGTGGCTGAGGCGGGGCGTGGAGCTGGAGGCTCCGCCAGACCTTCTCAGACTCCCAGGAAGAGCCAGAGCAGCCGCGCAGGCCTGATGCTGATCCAGCCCCGAGAGCCTTTCCCCTCTGTGCCTCAGTTTTCTCGCCTGTGGGTTGGGAGAGTCGCCAGCCCCTCCCCAGGAGGTTAGGGTCGGGGCAGCTCATGTATGGAGAGCTCCCTTCTTGGGGCTGGTGTGTCACAGGTGTCCCTTGGGGAGACGCTGTGCCTTCCTTGCCTGCAGAAGCCCCAGTGCTGTGTGGGACATTTTCCTTCTCCGGAGCAGGCTCCCTGCCCGGGGTCTGAGTTCTTTACCAGGCCAGGAAAAGGGTCCAGGCACTGGAGTGTCCCTTCCTGCTCCTCTCCCATGCCCTGGCTCCTCTTGGAGCTTCCCTGCGAGGGCTCCTGAGCCCCTTTCCTCTGCATCCCCCAGGCCCCAGGCAACCTCCTTTACTTGGACTCAGGGGGTCCCTCTGTCCTTTCCCACCAGGCGGCCTCCTAGACAAGAGTCTCCTCCGCCACGGGCCCTGGCGAGCCTACCCTCTGGGCTTTGCAGGAGGCCTGAAGGGTTGGGTGGTCTGAGGAGGGGGGAGTCGCGCTCAGCCTGGAGGCCAGTGAGAGCTGAGGTTCCATCAGGCCTGGGTGTGGGGGACCAGCTTCCTGGGACTGGCCTGGGGTCAGCACCAGGAATAACCTGGTGACTCCCGAGTTTGAGCTAGTTTTTCCACGGGGCTGAATCCTCCCTGAGCCTGGTCCCAAGCCCCCATTGCCTGGCCGGCTATGTTCCTTGAGTGCTCCTGCCTCAGTTCTGCCTCAGGGTGGGCAAGACCGGTCCTCTCCTCCCCTCTCCCTGCTTGTGCACCAGTGGGTCTGGAAAGTAGGGCTGCCAACCAGGATTCTTAGGTCTGAGCTGGGAGAGACTCGGGGCCTGGACCCC